GTACCATTAGGCCACTAAACCTACAAAGAACAGTGGTGGGAAAGGTATGTTAAGCTTATGGAAAATATGCAAAGGCTTGGTCTTCCTTCTGCTTCACTCCAACAGCCCCTATCCCTCCTTTTGCTCTATCACATATGTTGGACAGGTCAGGCCTGGGGTCAGGGTTACCTCCAAGAAGGGAAACCTGGGGTTCAGGAGGATTGGCAGCACCACTTTCAGAAGGAAGTGGCCCCCAGGGCCTATTCTTCATGACTCACTGGAGGTACGGTGGTGGGACAGGGAGAAGAGCCACATGAATCTTTTCTATTTCTTCAGCCTCTGGCTTTGTCCCTTTCTAGCTAAAATGTCTTCTTTCCTGAACCTTTTCTATTTACTGAAGCTGCAATGATCAGAGCTGATGTGGACTAGCAGCCTGTCTCACAGTGCTCTGAATAGATCATGTCCAGCCCAGGGCAGGGGCATGGCGAGGTGGAGTCAGCTGGGGGTCATGCCACAGGAGGCACAAGGTCATTTCCTCTTAAGCCTGGCTCCGCTGCTTCCTCTCAGTCTTTCCCCCTCCTTCTACACACACATACTCAAGGTTGATTTCTCTCTGGCTCCTTTCCCACACTAACAAAGGTAGGAATTTCTTGGCCTTAGAGATCCAGGCTCCTCCAAGCTGTGTATCTGAGTGGAGATTAGGCTGACTCTGAGGGCCCCTACTGCTCCTAAGATTATCCAAGGCAGCTTCTTATCCCTGTCTCTGAAGCTGGCTGGCGTCTCCTTCAGCCTCTATCTAGACCTGGCTTATCTATGCCCAACCTTGGACATGAGTGCGGACTGCCAGAGCTGCTTGGGCCGGTCACTTAAGGGCATGTCCCTTCCACTCCCCTTGGTCTCGTCTTTCCAGCTGCCACACCATAGGAATAGCTCAAAACATCTTTTAACTTGATAGTTCTTGCTCCATCTTTATAGGTGTGTTTAGCAAAAGATAGAATTCTGATAATGGAGCTGACACAGTCAATGTAGGAGGATCCTACATTGAGAAAACTCCATAAACAAAAACATGAATTTACAAAAACATAGGAGGGAACCTTTCTTGGATGGTTAATATTAATACTCATTAGAAAGGATTCACTTCAATTAACTAAAACAGTAGTGATTTTAGGTTGTTTCATGCACTATTCAAAGGGATTTAGGGGTAGGGAAGCAGATGGGATCACCACTTAGTCAGGGAATGTTTCCAAAATTACAATTCAAGTCAGTGATGATACTGAATCTGAAGTATGAACATCCTTACCATTACAGGGAAGTATTAAAAAGCAAAATGTATCTATCTGACTGTCACGGTCCAGGGTCAACACTTGGTCTTACCTGTCTTAGGCTGGGGAAAGCTACCTAACCAATCCCTAAGGGTAGAGACAGAAAACAAAAGATTCAAAGCAATGCCTTTGCCTTGTCATTCTTTTCTTGTAAACAAAGTGAGCCTTAAATTGCTCAAAGGTGAGTGGCAAGGAGAAACTGGAACCCATGTTATAATGACCTACTCAGCCCTGAACACTACATACTGACCTAGGTGCCCCTACTTTTTCCCAAGGCAGAAAGTAGATATCCAGTGATCTGCTGAATCAGGCCAACTGCAGGAAAGAATTACAGGCTCCAATGGAGGCATCTGGCATTTTTCTCTCATACAAGTCTCATTTAAAAGGGAAATGGAAAGGGTGCAGGGCTTAGTCAGAAGGATTAGGACAGGGAAAGTCATGCAGAGATTAGACATTCTGTCCAATGATGTGATCAGAGGGAAAACCTTCACCATCCCTTCGACATCCCAAATCTAAGTCTCTTCAGAAAGGACCATATTTTACTTTTGAAAGAGAGGAGCGAACTGGGTTGGGGGAGAGGGATGGGCGGGGAGAGAAGTGCAGCAATGAATGAATGGAAATCCAAAATCTCTGTAAATGCTCATTAAAATTATTAAAAAATTAAAAAAAAGAAAGGACCATGTTGCAGCTCCTTGAGAAGAGAAGGAACCATGAAACAGCCAGGGCTGGAAACAGCACCTCAGTGGGAGAACATTTCATTTCCAGACAAAAGCAGCACAAGGGACATTCGTCCACCCTGTTGTTTTCCCTTAGCCAAGAGAGAGGGCTAAAGCAATTATCAAAGTTTAAAATTCTCAGCTCTATTTAAAAAAAAAGTGAGTATCCAAAATATTGTCATTAAATAAGTATCACATTAATTAGATTTGTTATTTAGTTGTCTCATTTGCCCTCACAGCTTCCGTGGAGGCAGTGGCCATGTCTTAATCACCTTTACAAATCCTGACCTAAGAGTGTCATCTAAAAGTGTCTGGCACATTGTAGAGACTCAAGTGCTATGTGATGAATCTATATGAACACAAATGGGCAGGGGCTCATTATAACATTTTGGCCTTTCCCTGCCCCCAAGTAAAGCAACTTGGTCCTACAGCATGACAAGAAATGTTCTACTCATTTTTCTTTCAGGTAAGACAAGGATCTATCTGTGGCTACTGCTTTCTGGCTTTGAGAAATCTACCTAGTAAAGGTACTTCCCTTTTCGATCTGACGCCTTTCCACCTCTTATTTCTGAGGTATCTCAATATCAACCAGCCCAACACTAGTCCTTTACCCTCTCTCCACACCAATATTGGGATGTATATACCTGGAGAAGTAGTGCTTCAAAATGTTACTCAGGGAACTGATTAAGCTTCTGAGGTATAAAGCAATCCATAACATTTGTGACGGGTTAACTTTAATTTGTCAAAATAAATCTGCAATATTTTGCATGTTAATAATACAGTGCTGGTATTGACAGGTAAAATCATCATCTGCTTACATAGAAACCTTCATTTAGGAGCACACCTTAGGAGGGAAATGGATACACAATAAAAGGCAAATGCAGGCCAAGCAGCGAGCCCTAGAGCATAACAGGCTGGATGTCAGATTTGAGGATTATCTAATACAACTGTTTAGCTGCCAATCTGATAAAGGGGAAGTTCAACCAGGTTACAACCAGAAAGGAGAAGCATACTCTGCCTTTTTGTAGAACAGGGGCCGTCGTGCTTTCAACACCTGGCTGAATTCCATTCATCGGCATCAATGCACAATTCCAGTTCCAAGACACAGGAGAATGTCACCACTCCACCTACTGTACCCCCTTCAGTGGCCTGCCCTCACCCTCATTCTATCATCAACTCTCCCCCTCCCAAAAGAAGACACACGTGGCTTTATTATTGCAGACAAGCTTAAGTGAATAAAGATGCATACAAAATAGCATTTTAACTGAAGTCATACAATGAAGTCTCACTCCTGTTTATTATACAATGAATTGATAAAACAATTATTTCTAGTAAATATCTTCTTTTTAAAAAAAAAAACACAACAAAACAAAATTAAAACAACTAATACTTTCAGGGTTCTGAAGACCACACTCTAGCCAGGGGTAGGGCCCAGATCTGTCCCCACTGAGGACTGCTCCTTGGGTGGCTGTGGAGGAAGCCTGGGCTGTCTAATTGTGGATGATCCAGATTGCCAGCCCAACCAGGAGAGATGAAAAGTCTCAGCCGGCAGACTCAGAACCAGGTCCTAAGGCTGCATGCCAGGAACCGTGGGCTTCCTCCAAGTGTGGCCACTACCCACCCAATTCAGACCTCAGCAGGGCCATGCCTGGGTCTTCCCTACATGACTCCTTCCAGTAGTCCACACATAATGTTCTACATATTAAAAACAAGCCATCTTTGTACTGTGGATAAGAACAGTTGTAACAAAGTCATAGCTACATATTTTTCTCTACATTTTGTTTATTGAGACAAACTAATTAAAAGGCACAAACATAGGGCATGTTTACATGGACATTATAACAAACATATACATTAAAAGTGTAGGAATGTGTTGCCTTCCTGCTAAACAGAAAGTTCCTAAGCTTTTATATATACAAAAGTTGTACAATTTAATGTCCTAAAGTACAAAAGATCATTTATAAAATTATTTTACACTAAGTACTATTTATTTTTACTATGTAGTTCAACCCCCTAGAACTGTTTTGTATCATGACACAGAGATACCTGTCCCTGATGTAGGAAGTCTGCCTCAGATGCAAGGTTATTTTAATGTCTGAACTGACACAGTGGGGTATAAACGGAAGTCATCCAGTTTGATAGTCAGTCCTACAAACATTGTGCAGGATTAACAACTAATTTCATTTCTCTAATGTAAAATTGAAAAAAATGAAACAAAATAGAATAAAAAACATATTGCAACTTAAAACAAAACAACACAGCGCCTTGGTTTTGTTTTTAAAAAACACAGAGTTTTAAAAATATTAATGTGTGGCATGATGGAGAAAGTTATCTGTTTCCCTAAATTTTGGTTTCTACTTTATGTACAGAGATAAAATATCCTGCTAAGAAATAAAATGCACATGTTTCAACGTGCACGATCACGGCTGGGTTTCTAGGGAGTGCAGACAGCCATCTCCCAGAAAACACCACACAGCTGATACAAGTGTTTTCTCAAAGAAAAACAAGTGATGTCCATATTTACAAAACTGAACAAATCTGCACAATACTTGATTAAGAAATGGAAGGAAAAATTAAAAATATAGACACGCTCTGCTTGTTCTGAAGGGGCTTACTACCTAGTTAGTGGTTAGAATAAAAACTGTATACAATTTAATATAAGACATAAACTCTAGTGAGCAACTAACACATCTGTCCCTGTTGTAACATCAACAGGCTATGATTGGGAGAGAGAGGGGCATATCACATCCCAGTGCCTCCAGCGTCTTTCTTCCAATTTAAAGCAATATATTTTAACTGTTCCAAAGTATTCCTCAGCTCCTGAGTGGGAGTCCCATTGGTCTCCATTTGCTAGGAGCTTGCCTGTCCGCATACTTGACTTCTCTTTCATTTGCAGTCTTTTCTTACCAAAACACAATTTGTATATTTTGGTTTGCTTCTTCTTCTTCTTTTTTTTTTGTTTTGTTTTTATTCATTTTTTTTTAAAAAGTGAACTACAATGCTATATTCCATCAGGATTAATATGTTGAGCAATATTTACATCTCCAAATATCAGGTCACACTCCCTATTATATGTTGAAGTTAGAATGATAAATTATCATATGCTTTGCATATCAGAGCTGGTATCACCTTTCCCATAGGGAATGCTGCCTGAAATTAACATATTCCCAAAGGTAAAATGCATATTCTCTGAAATGCATTTTATTATGACAATGCATGTATTTACTCATAAAAACAATAAACACAAACTATTCTACACTAGCTCTCAATCTGTGGATTTAGAGTATCAGGTTAAAATCAGTCATCCACCTGGTATATGGGGAAAGAGTTTTGCTAGTGTTTAGAACAAAATGGTTTCTGGGGATTAGAAACAGCAATGCTGTTTTTACTTTGAAATGGGTTTTACTTTTTTATGATTGATTTTAATCCTGGCATTTCATCTTGCCAACTACTATTTAAGCAATGATGTGAGCTAAAAGGAATTTCTGATTAAACTAAAATGGTCCAATGATAAGTTACATACACACTCTATTTTGAGTAATTCCAGCCAAATTGGAGAAAAATGCTACTATACTCTTATTATTAACTAATGTAATAAAATCTTCCAATTTCATGGTTTACTTTTTACCTTAATCAACTAAAAATAAGTTGCTGGTAAGTATTTACTTTAAACTCCTATTTTCATTTTATAATACTGTTTACCAAGGCGGTGATGTAGGCAAAGCTTGGGGCAGGAAAGGCATGCTCTCTACAGGCCTCATTGCTATATTGAGAGGGGCAGCTAATGTCATTGGTGTGGGCAAGTTCATTGGAGACGTGATCGTAACCGGGTGTGCGATATTCACTGGGGCAGTGACTGGGGTGGGGAGGTTGACTGGGGTTGTGAGTGTTAAAGGAGAGGTCATGGATAATGGACTAGTGATAGTTACAGGGTGCCCTATGTTCATGGGGCTGGTTATGTTAACTGCACTTGAAACATTTACTGGACTTCTCATGCTCATGGCAGCTGCTACTGTGACTGGGTTTGACATAGTCCCAGATGACACAGAAGATGTTATATTGAATGGAGTAGTGAGAGTCACAGGTGTCGTAGCAGCCGTGGAGGTTTGGCACAGGTTAGCAGCTTCTAAAATAAGAAGACAAAAGGGCCTTTAGACTCTTCAAACAGTGAACAAAAGTCACAAAGAGTTTCTGAATCATTTTTTTTTAATTTAAAGGGCAAACATGTAATGAATTACAGTTTCCAACCACGTGGTCAACAGGAAGGGAGGCACTGAGCACAAGACTGGGGACCCGCGACCCCACTGTAAGGCTCTCCATGCTGATGCTACACCTCCTGCAAGAACTGGAGTGACTTGTTTATCTTGAAATTTTTGTTTCAAGTTCAAATTTACTTACCTACCTCACACTGATGCTGAGAGGATCAGTTAACTTCTGCAAAGTCCTCTGAGGGGAGGGGGTAAAGATACTCAGTGTGGCTAAGAACCTCCAAGCAGTTCCTCTGAATTCTAAACACTCTCCTGGGAAGAGCCAACCACCAGCAGGAGAAAAGAGCTTGTTTACAGAGTTGAGCCAATAGTTACACAACACCATATAATCGGAGAAATCTTCTCATAAGGCACACTGTAACTATCAGAGCTGCCATATGCAGTATAGGTGACAGAAAGCCCACTCAGAGGTGAAGCTATATTCCATTAAAGTTTTTAAAATCCATAATTTGGCTTTGAGAAGCAAGTTATTTAATTATCACCTGCTTATTTCAGTCTTGGAAAAATAGTTCTTATTAAATAGTCCCATTGCTTCTGGTTGGGTGTTAAGGATATTAAGAAAGAAAAAAAAATAGTCCTCAGAAGCTTTATGTTGTTCTCCCTTCTCACATTTCTTTTCCCATTCTGGTTAATGCAATCACTTACTTGATGCCTTGTTTCATTTTACTACACATTACACATAATCACGTATACCAAATGGGACTGACCAGGCAAGGAGACCCTGCAGTTAAGTTGGAGGTCCCTAATTCCTACAACCCAGCAAAGTCTAGGCACTTCTTAAAGAAAAGTTATCTCAAATATGATACCGCTAACCCTATTCTGAAATGAAATTCAATACTATCTGCTGATTTATCCTTTCCCTTACCCTCTCAGGGTTTTATGTAGTACAGAGAAAAATGGCTAGAATTGGATGGTGAAAATGGAAGGGATACATTTGAGACTAAAGATGGGGCTCAGAACACTTCCTCCTGCCAGGTAGAGGGACAGGGGGTGAAAGTAAAATCACCTCAGGAGGACATTTGAGCCATTAAACAGTTAACAAGCCAGTTTTTATTTGGTCAGTATGATGTAACTTTGATATACTCTCTATCAAGGATTCCCAAATCGGGCTGATGATCAAAACCTTCCATCTAGGAAATTTTTTAGAAAATTAATTCCTAGGAGATCCAATATTGAAATTTAGACGGAATCTAGGAAATCTGTATTTTAAAAAGCTCCTTAGATAATGATTCAGATTGAGAATTGATATTATTTTATTCTAATTTGATGGTAGTCTCATTATTTAAAGGGACATTTCTAATTTTAGTTTAGGTTTTCAAGCTGGAAGTCTCTCTTCTCCAGATATGTCAATTACCAATATGAATACAGAGGTTGCTAACATCACTGGTCATGTCCAGAGAGAGGTATGCTTGCTCTGAAGAGGACTATAACAGCTTATATCAGAAAATGAGCTAAACAACTGAGTCTTATTGTGCAGGCAAACAAACAATAATACCAAATACAAGTGTCAAAAAAAAAAGAGAGAGAGGATAAGATATAAAACCAACCTGCTGTTGGGGTGATGGCAACACTGTTAAGAACATTCTGCTTTTGCTTTTAATGTAAAAGTGTTTACTACCTTTGTACAATAGCCTGTCTCTGTTTAATGTGATTCCTGTCAGTATCTTTTAAGTTTTTATTTTTATGACTTCCTCTTAGTAAAACATTTTCTATAATATGCTTTCAACTCATTATGCAAATATTACAGCACCAAAATATAATGACAACTCTTCATTTGGAAGGAACAGCAGCATCTATCTATCTGGACGGCTTCATTCTTTTCCTCCAATGCAAGTAGATGTATGGGAAAAGAATTTTATTTATTCCTTTCATCTTTATCCAAAAGCAAGATATTTAGAAGGGATCTGAAGAAGGGAATAGTCACAATACACAAAAGCCAAGAACAGCAAAGATGACAGAATAGCCTGTATGTTGATGATTCCTTATCAATTTAAAACACAACAGTATAGCATGGCGGGGTGGGGAAGAAAGAAGGAATTTAGGAATCTGTCCGAGGGTTGATGCTACAATGACAAAGTGACTTTTCTGAAATGGCTACACAATATCCCAGGAGACAAAGCTGCAACTAGTAAGTCAAAGCTATGAGGAGAATGAAGACTACAAGAAAGAAAACTTTCTATTTTAAAAAAGCAATCGCAGTACAGTCCTTATGCAGAGAACATGTTAAGCTAATGCCAGTTGAGTGAGAGATGAAATAAAAGCGAGGCCAAAAAGGGGAGGAGGGAATCAGCACTACAGAGTCTGAAAAGTGTATTAAATAATACAATGCAGAAAGGACACTAAAGAGCAAAAAAAATAACAGTAGTAGGAAAGTGAACTGATTTATATACCAGGATGGTACTGCATCCACCTCGAGGCAGGAGTACTTTAAAAGTAAAAAACAGCCTATAATGGAGTGATGTTGAAAATAAAATTAACAACAAAAATGGGACTCTGAACAAAGCAAAAGACCAAATTTATAACAAAAAATAAATTTAAAAAAGGACATTTAAGTAGTACTGAGAATTTTTATTTTCTAGTAATAAAAATTTATCTGGAAGATTTATTGCCAATTAACTAAACTTTGCCAGACATTTCCCAGCTTACAGTATTTACATGTTCTCATAAAGCCAGATTCTCTAAACTGTGGTTTCTCTCATTTTTATTTATTTCTCTAATTTAATCACTTGGTATTCTAAATTGAAATACCCTTCCAGTTGTACCCTGGCCCTGGGAAGCCTCAACTTACCTTTCTTCCGTGCTTTGACAGCTTCTTCCCACAGTCTCAGCGTTTCTACCTGCTTTCCTGGCCAACTTGTAACATGCTGTTGCTGCTGCTGCTTCTGGTTGCTGGTCTCTTCACTCATGCATGCTACTCCAAAGACAAAGCAGAATAATTTATCTACTTTGAAAAAGTACAGCAGTTTTTGCAAAATCCAAAACTTAAGTAACTTGATTCCTCATACACCTGAAATCTAATTTTATTTCAAAGCTTTTACTACAGTGTATCTCATTTTTACAGCTTGTGTTTATACTGATTATGAAAGGTGAGTCAATAAAACATCTAGAGAGCTAGGAAAACTAGTATAAAAGGGAAAAGGGGACTCTGCTATATTAAAAAGCAACTGTCTAAAAATGGAAGTTGGGATCATTATTATGTAGTAGTATGTTCATCAAAATATCTAATATACTTGCTCAGTTGACCAAAAATGTACACTGAAAAGTACATTTCTGTAAAGTTCAAGTAGAATATGCTAGATGATGTATAAAGAAGCAAAATGGACAAAATGCATGATGCTTTCTTTCTCATCACTTTGCCCAACTAGTTTTGATAATTTTATAGTTTTGCTGCATAAAGCACATCTATAATAGAATACAGAATCAGGAAAAAGCTTTTTTTCTTGTGGAAATAGCAAAAGCAGATGCCTAGGTAAATTAAAGTATTATTAAATTTTATCAATAAATTCTGGAATACTGTATCTTCAACTGTGAATTTAAGCATTCTAATGGATACACTATTTCATTTCTTTACAATTTCAGATTTGAAAAGCAAACTTACTAATACTACTTTCACCTTTAAGGTCATTAATAAGAGTATGCTATCAATCAATACAATCAGGAGTTAGCAGATATAAAGACTCTCCATCTTTCAGTAAGAATTAAAACTGCCTCACTTAAGACACAATTTATTTGTCTTATGTCATTTTAATCCTAACACATTAGAGCTTTTTATTGAAATTTCATAGCGGGGACACACTGAAAAATAGCTGCGGGAAATTGTGCTATTCTAACAATAGGTATGTCCTTTATGACTAGAAAGGTGGAGGGATGCCAAAGGAGAGGAAGACCCTCAATCAGGTGCACTGACACAATGACTGCAGCAATGGCCTCAAATGTGTCAGAGACTGTGAGGTTGACACAGGATGGGACAAGGTTCAAATCTGCTGTTCGTAAGGTTGATGTGAGTCATTCTCATTCCGATGGCACCTAACAACAACCTGGGTGTTATTTGCAGTAAAAAAATCAGTGGAGAATTTGTAAATGTTGTTTGTGTATAGATGCAGGTGAAGCATATTTGTGACACTAGTATACTCTTCCCACTGACAATGATATGTGTTTGCATACTTTAGTTAATAGGAGTAAACATTAAGATGACCATTAATACAGTTCTGAGAACATAATGAAAATACTTTTGATGTATCACAAAACATCTAGATTTCATCAACTTAAAATGTAAAAGAAAATTACAAAGAGTCACTTACTTTTATTGATACCTTGTTTACATGTATTACAGTTGATACTTTGGCTCTGCCCATGTGTCTTTAAGTGGCTGGTGATGTATGCTGCACTCAGAAGTTTCCCACAGATATTACATGATACCTTGCCCTCGTGGCGCACCATGTGTGTCCGTAGTCTGTCTTTGGTGGCAAAGGCAGCAGTGCATGTCTGCATGAGGGAGGAAAACTTTTTTTAAATATAGACTATCCTGTTCTACTCATTTTAAAATATGTTATATTCTATGCATTACTCTACCCACATCAGCAAACAGACCTGAACTATGGAAAATTTTAACTGCATGTGTTACTTACAATGGTAACTTTCAAAACACCTGGTGAAGTTTAGATACTTCCATTTCAGGGAAAGAAAAAAATACCAACACAGCAAAGTGAAAAGATGACAGTCATAACATCAGTTAAACCTGATTTTTAAACCCAGCTCTACAATTTACTTAACAGAGTAACCTTGAACAAATGTGTTAACTTCTCTGTTTCTTCATCTATGAAGTTAGAATAGTAATACCTACCTCACAGGACAGCTGCTGAATAAAGAGCTTGGTCCAACATTTGGCACATAGCAAGCACTTAAGTCAATAAACATTAGCTTCCTCCTTTTAGTTGAATTTTTCTTAAAATTAAAATAATTTACTTTAATGGGATCAGTTATTATTAAACTTAACTAAAAGAAGCACAAAAAGACTTCCAAGTAGCAAAACAGAATTATTGATGCTTACAATAGTTATCTGATTCAACAAAATTCTTAACCTTTTCATTGTCACAACTTATGTCAAATGAAACATTAACATAAGTAGATTTTCACACTAGAATATGCTCCAATTTGACAACAGCAGGCATAAGTACATTGTGATAATAGGGAGAAAATTAATATCTCTATTATTATAAACAACCTCAACCAAGAATCCAGAAATGAACCCAACACATTTATAGGAGAATATATATATATATATATACACACACACACACACACACACACACACACACATATATACATTTTCTCCTTGTAACAAAAAAAATTTCTGTTCCCAATGAAAGTGTATCTTAACAAAAACAAACTTTTAACTTTTTAAAATGATCTTGCCTCACAGAAAGAGAAGCTGTCATTTATATTTAATAAAACTAAATTTCAAATAGACCACATTTACTCAAGCCAATGATTTTAAGATTATTCAAGAACTGTGAGATTTGATTGGCTCAGACCTTCTGGATAATGTGCATTAAGTGCTACACTAAGGATAAGTCATTTTAACTCTTACTTGGCATTTGAAGGGTCTTTCTGTTGAATGGACATGTTTTACGTGACAGCTTAAGTGGTCAGGCCTGTGAAAGAGAGAGTTTCAACAGAAGATGTAATAGAACACGCACAGAGAAATGCTACTTACTGTGATGCTTATATGACTGGTAGATGGGGATGGGGGGCATTTTAAGAAAGCTAGCAGAATTACCAACTCCCCCTGCCCCAGTACAAGCCTCCTTACCTCTATTACTATATATTTAATTAGTTTCAGTCTTTAACTTGTTCATTTTCCCTTCTATTCAACAAATCATATTAGGTCTTGGTTCTTTATAATTACAATATATCCAAATTTTCAGTCCTAAGACTTGGCAGAAAAAGCTACAACTATATTAACGTTAAAAGCTTTTAAAAATTCTAATTAGTAAAATGTTAGTTCTCACTGAAAACATGGAAATACATTCCCTTAAAAGTTTTATCAAGTGTCTCCAAGGTCATTTCAACTTTCAGGAAATATGTTCCTTTGATTTGTACAGTGAACCTCATATCTAGTCACCCAAATAAACTGGAAACTGGTGGTTTTGCAGTGATAAGTGTCCATGTGCCAAATGAAGGCTTGAATCCACCAAGGCACTCCTTAAGTGAAGTAGTAAGTTAGATCACTATGTCCCCATACATCAACGATATCAAATGGGATTAGACCTGGAGTATAATGCTTCTTTATCGATTACCAATCTCCTTTAACAAAGCAGGCCTGCTCCCATCTATTCTCACATTAAACCTTCAAGATCACACAGAAATAAATCTGAAGTTTCACTGTTATCATAATTTTAAAAATGCAAAGCAAAACGCAGTACCTCGAGAAGCCTTTCCCACAAACACTGCAAGTATAGGGTTTGGTGATGCCTCCTTCATGAGACCTTACATGGTAAGTCATCCGGTCCTTTCTCTTGAAGCGCTGATTACAAACAGGGCACTCGAAAGGCTTTTCGTCTGAATGGGAGAGCTTGTGTCGATTGAGGTGGTACACATCTCGGAAGGCCTTCCCACACATCTCACAGGCATGGTTCTTCTTGACAGGCTTACTGGGTTTCTTGACCGTCTGGGTCACAGGCATAGCTGTAGTGCTGGCACTGCTGCTGGGGTTAGTGCCCGAGGAGGATGTAGTGACAGTTGACAGGATGCCTGCAATGGTCGAGACCAATGAAGTTCGGCTGCTGTCCCCAGCGATGGTGGAGATAAGGGGAACCACTGTGGTGGGGGTTTTCTTTGACCGGGACACCAACTTGATTCCTGTGTGGCAGGACTCATGGCGCCTCAGGTGATAGCTGTCCCTGAAAGCTTTACTGCAGTAAGTGCACACAAATGAAGTTTTGGGTTTTTCTTTTTTAATCCCAATGGCATCCTTTAATGTTTCTGGTGCAGCCTGAGGTTTCTGAGTTATTGGTATTGGAAGCAATGGTTTCTGATCAGGAGGCTCCACAGCAGAGCTCAGGAGGGGAAGCAAGCTGTTCTGTGCTGCCTGTTGTTGGTGATGAGAGGCTTCATGGGCCTAAAACCAAACATTTACACTTCAGAAACTCAGCCTCTCACACGACCTTCAAAATTCAACATGCTCCAGACAAGGGAGACCAGAAAAAACATTCAAAGAGCTTGTAAGCCAAGTCCCTGAAGCAGCTATCCTGCAACCACCTAATAGGTTGTAGCTCCTAAATCAAAACATCTGAAATCATTGTCCAGCAATTTTTTCAACTAAGTTGCTGACAGTGATCTTGCTTTCAAACAAATGACTAAATTATACATCGTCCTGGTTCTTAAGGGCCATAATAGCAGATGAAATCAGGGTGCATTTGTCTGTCGGTGCTGAAACCAAGTTTAAATAATTTGTAAAAAAAAAATTATACTACAGATGTTCTGATAAATATTTAACAGTATAGTACCTTGCTGCAGACACACGCGCACACACACACACACACACAAAAAAAAGCCAGAATGACACAATCATCTACTTGTCTACTACCTATGGAAGAAAAGGTAACAGGGTCTCTCCATTTCCATCAGAAAACTCTTAAGTGTTGAGAGAGGGATCTAAGTGATAACAGGTATCTTGCACTCTGAATACATATGCAAGTTGTTAAGTTTCCTTTTAAAGTTTTCACTTAAAAGATATGGATGGAATAAAATCTGCTATTAATTGACCTGAAAGGCAGTGGTGAAGGTAGCCCATAGCAAAACACCTGTCAGTTGATTCTCAGTTCACCTATTCCTATGTTAGCAACACTAGTTGATAGTCAAGCCCCTGATGCTGCTCAAAGACAGACTAGTCAGAAAAACGACAACAATAAAAATATTTAAAATTCCTTCACATTCATCTTGTTCAGTAATTGTAGGTTTTGTTAAAACATTGGACATTTGCTCTGTTATAATGAGCTTTCCCATTCCAAAACTGAAGGCTCGGCACAGTCTGGAAATTTTCTTTAGCTGCACTGAAACAAAAAATTCATTGTGATTCAGGTTCTTGGCATTCATGAGTAGTTATGACTTCTTGGATTTGATTCTTATAAAATTCTCCATACCTCGATGCTAATAAACATTTAGGAAATGAAAGAAAACATTCCTGGAAAAGAGGCAGTCCCCAGAGAATGAACAAAATCCATTCCTAAATGGGTCTTTAACTTGTAGGATGCATGGGGTTCTTATCCTAACCCCACTTTAGCTCAACAAGTCTTTTCAAAGATTTAAAAGCTGCAGGTGCAGCCAGTGAAAGTGACTGTGCTGAAGGATTTGTTTTGAATAAGAATTATTTCAATCTTTCCAGAGTGAGGACAAATTTACATAACTTTAAAGGGCAATACGCATTGTTAAACTGGATGTTTGTAACCAAGGGACTTACTGTAGTGCTTCCTGGTATGTTGTTCTTTTCCAACATTAATTTTGCAACTTTTGACAGTAAGCTCAAGGCCCTAAAATGAGCTTTGTAACCCTAAGAAGATCACGCCCTTGCGAGGTAAGTATCCAAATATTTAAAGCATGCAATGTTCGAGGAAAGGCCTTTCCCAGGATATCAGAACCTTTACCAACTCAACCTTCTTATTCTATAAACACACGTCTTACAGATAACTTGACTACAGACAGAAACTCAAAGACAGGGACACACAAACATACACATCGTTCATCTCAGTGGTTAAGAACATCTATTACTCACTGGTCATGTTTACTTGATGGGGAACACAATAACTAAGCTTAGAACTAGTCTCTCCCAAATGATTAGGTGAGAGGGTACCTAATGAACTATCAATTCCAACTTTTAACTTTTTATCTAATCTTCCTTTGAGTACTGAAAACACTCTCAGAAATTACGTGATTACTATCTGGACTACTGCTCATACTGAATCGCAGTCTACTTTTAATTTATGGACTGTCAATGTCAGTGTCCCAGGTGACACTAGCAGAAACTTTATAGAATTTGAACTCTTACTCATTTCTCAACTGAGCTGTAGGATAGCCAAGTTTCCATGAGGTATACAAACAGTTAATAGCTAAAGATAACTCAAGACATAAAACTTCAAAAGCTAACACATCAGATAAAAGGGAATGAAAATCTCGACAAAGTTCAGACTTACAGAGTTTACAGGCATTTTTTCAATTCTAAACAACTATTGGTGCAATGGAATACTAAAAGCACTTACTGCCATTTTACCAATTCAGATGTCTGTGGTAACAAAGTATTTTCATAGCACTGCTGACAGGAGGATCATACCAGGTCCCTGTTTCTTGGGTGAAATGCTATAAAATGCTTCAATCACTATAGGAATCATTCCCTGAGGATTCCTAGGATCCTCATACTTCTACATGAAGCCTTCTAGGAGGTGAACTGGCTCTCCCTAACTTATTCTCTAGGGAAGAAGGAGTAAAGTAACTACCACAGCCTGTCTTCAGTAAAGTGATTTATTATTAAAATATAACTTCTGGGTAGGCTTTTATTTGATTAGCATCATCAAATCAGAGTTTTAATTATCACCCATCTCTTTCAACTGCAAGACTTTTTAAACCTGCCCAAGCTTTCCTTTTTCTGTGCTGGCAAAAAACAAAACAGAAATGTTATTTCATCACCCAGGGTGGTAGGATATGGCACCAAGAATCTCCAGTGCCAGAGGGTGAAAGATTTTGTACTGAAACAAATTAGCATCGGTGAGTCATATCTTGAATGTCTTGTTAGGAGAATCATCCATCAAACATTTTTAACAGCTATGGCTTTCACTTTCCACCAGATTATCTGGAAAGCAAGCAGGTGTTAAGTTGTTTTAAAACATAAATTCAATAGGATGCTCCAGGAAACAAACAAGAGAATTTAACTCTCCATTTCCCCAGTTAAAATTAGTACAATCAGAACTGATTAAGTCTATTCAAACTTTTCCAGAGACAACACTAAAATAGTCCCTTTCCCCATTTAACTCTTTTCAGTTCTAAATAAATTTTTCAACAATTTTCACTGCACACAGTTCAAAGCCCAATTTTCACACTTTAAAATCAACTTTCTTTTTTTTTTTAAAAAAAGGGATTTTAATAGTTGGGGGGGAAGAATATAACATCTCATTTTAAAATTGGTCAGTAAATGTGTGTAGCATTTGCTTTACCCAGGGAAAGAAAAATAAAACAACAAAACCCAAAAAACCAAGAAAGTTTTCAGTTGGCTTTCTAAAAACTTGCTACAATTTTTTTTCTTGATGTGAAGAACTCTTTATTTATCCAATATACATTAAGTTTACAGGCACCAGGTTTACAATGCTGAATCTAAACCACTCAAAGAGGGCAGATTCCACCTTTAACACCAACCTGGATGCCAGTTAACTATATATTCTTTCTTTTCTGGTGTATTTTAAGTCAATTTATCACATTATTATCATACCCATCATAGTGTAATAAAATGCCAGATGAGAATGAGGAAAGTGAATTAATTCCAGAATTTTTAATATCTTAAATTTTAAGATGCTTGAATATATTTCAACTACTTAAAAACCAAATTAGCACTGTTGTCAAGAATGTATGTTTAAAAACAATAAAATTAATCTATATGATACATAATGTTTGGAATCTCCAATTCCCTGTATTTTAACTCCATTGACAGGGGTCCAGCAGTGTCGAAAAAAAATTTTTTTGAAAACTGTGCATCCGCGCCTGGTTGGTTCTACGTGGCCTCAAACGCCCAAACTATGCGTTTGGGGTTTCACAAAGTTATTCAAACAAGGAAAATAACCCAGAGAGGCGGGAAGAAAGCACTTAAGTGATGAGCTTCCTAACCTCCTCCGGTTTGGAAGTTTTCCTGTAAGCTCATCACGCCTGCCTGGTAGGTGCACCGTTTGCACCAAGCAGAAGGAAAAAGTTATGTCCAGCTCAGGTCCTCCAAACAGGGGTCCTCCAGATAAAAACAGGCAGCGGCACTGCCTACGGAGCGGCTACAGTCACTTTCAAGTTTCTCGCAAAAAGCGGACATCAACATCCCTAACGGGTGACTCAAGTGGGGGCTTTGTAAACAGACTGTTTGCTCTGCGTTTTCGGTCTCCCCTGCGCGGCTGGAGGAGACGGTGAAGGTGGGACAGGGGAGCAGGCGCTGCAGGACGGAGATCGGTCCTCCCCGAGTCCCCCCCACCCCCACCCCCGCCCCAGCTGGGGGATTCCCTGGCTGAATGGGCCGGCGCGAGAGCTGGACAGAGGACAGAGCAAAGGGTGTCCGCTGCCAGGGCCAGGCTGAGGTTTGGAAAAGAAAAATGGAAATCCCATGAAAAAGTTTGGAGAGGGGATACACACCACACTCTCCAACTGTGTAAACACTAGGGGGGCCAGCGGAGAAGGGGGAGTGGCGGGGAACGCAGGAATACCCGCTATTCGCTGGGATGGGGGGGGGTGTTAGAAAGTCAACAAAAAAAAAAGAGAGGTGGTGAAAGAAGGAAAGCGCCAGATGGAAGGGCTGTGGGGTGCAAAGCGACTCCAGGAGGACTTGGGAGCCCCCTCTCTCCCCCGGTGCGGCCGCGGGCCGGACGCGCCGTGGCCAAGCGGCCCGCGCTATCCAGCGGCCCGGCGCCCTCTTTTCTCTGGGCCGCGCGGGTGGTGACAGCGACCGGCCTCCTCCCTTCCGCTTCGGAGCGGGAGGGCAGGGTGTGTGTGTGTATGCGTGTGTGTGCTGGGGGGGCCCTGGGGCTCACCCCGAGGCCTTCTCTCCCCCGCACCCCGGAGGCCGCCTCCTTTCACCTCAGCAGCCCCGCTCCTCCGAGGCGGGCGGGCGGAAAAACAAAGGGGGATTAAGGCCGGGCCGGAGAGCGGAGCCGGGAGGGAGGGGAGGAGCGCCCTCCCGCCCGCCAGCACGGGGCCCGGCCCCCCTGTCCCCCCCGTACCCCCCCGGGGGGGGCCCCCAGTACCTGGAACAGGAACGCGGTCCAGTTGGCCTCCATGGCTGCGGCGGCCGACCCCCCTCCTCCCCACTCCCCCCGCTCGGGGAGCCTCCTCAGCCGGAGGAGGCGACAACAAAGCGGCGGCGGCGGCGGCGGCAGCGGCGGCGGCGGCTCCTCAACATGGCAGCGCCGAGCGCGGCCACTTCCGGTAACCTCCGGGACGCACCACCGCGGCGGCGAGCGCGGGCGGGGGGGGAGCCCCGGCCCGGCCGCCGCCACCCCCAGTCGCCTAGACCCCTCCTGGGCGTTGCCGCAGCCGGCTCGCCTGCTCGGAGCTCAGCCAGTGCTCGCGGGCGGTGGGGTCAGGGCCGCCGCGGGGGGGCTGGGGTGGGGCCGGGGGCGGGGATGGGCTGCGGCGTCCCCCCCCGCGGGGGTGTGTGGTGCTGCGGTCCGTGGCTCTGGCAGCTGGAGCAGGGGGAGCTCAGGAGAGAAGATGGAGGACGCCAGGGTCTGGTGCTGGCCTGCTGGGCACAGCAAGGCGCACTTTCCCTTCATTCAGGCCGGGCAGCTTAGCGTCCCTATTAGACCCTCAGCGGAAGGCACAGGCCGCAGAGGTCACCCGCTTTCCAGTCCGTTCTGCACAGGATATCCTCCATCTCCAAACTGGGGGAACCCCTTTTGGATTCCCTCTCCTCTCCCACAGCTGGCTAAAACCTCTAGTTAATGCTGTGATGTGCAACTCTCACTGAAATGAATGGCCTTCCAGCTCAAAGCAGGAATCCCACTGGGTGCAACCTTAGAGCATCCTAGTGTTGAGGCAAACACATGCCACGCAGAGATGTTGTTACTGGGTTATTCTTGGGTGAAGCTTTCCCATCCTTCCCCCTCTGTACATGTATAAGGCGGAATTCTCCCACCCCCTGCCCATTAAAGACACACAAACACAAATGAGAAAGCACAGACGTATTATTTTAGTCCTTCAGTACAGTCTGCTTCAAGAAAACAAAAAGTGAACTTTTGGTTAGACAGCACCAAGGGATGTCAGTGAGGTGACCCCAGCCTCTCGTTTGCAGTTCGAAGTCACCACTATTGGAACTTTGCAGATAAGCCTGTATCATGATGTCCTCAATGTTTTGGGTTTTTAAAATTCTTTCTTCACAGAGAGGTAGCTACTGCAAAGCAGAGAGAAGCTATTATTAAACAAGTGTCTCCAGTCTCCTTTGTTGAGAAATGAAAGGATGGGCTGTATCAGTGATAACTTTATACAGTATGAGGGGGGAAAAAAACACCTCCTCAGATGGCCATGTTATTTCAAGAATCCAACATCTTCCATAACAAAGCGTCTCTTCTCTCCTCCATCCATTCCTTTACACATTCTAATCAATATATGGCAATCTCCAATTTCCTCATTCTTAGCTAGTGTCTTTCTAACCAGTGAAAATTAAGCGTCTAGATTGTGAAACTTAAAAATGTATTGTTCCCATAATATGAATTGTTTCAACTTTATGGACTGCAAAGAGAAGAAACAAGTCTGTTCTGCAGAGGGTGAAACCAGGTTGCTCCTTGGAGGCAAACATTTTACAACTCCATCTCACATATTTGAGGGATGCTGCCAGGAGGACCAGTCCTTAAAAAAGGACATCATGCTTGGAAGGGTGGAAGGCTAACGCAGAAGAGAAAGACTCTGGATGAGATGGACTGACACACTGTGATAATGGGGGCAGGTGTATTAGAGACAGTGAGCCTGGTTCAGGAAAAGGCAGGGTTCAGAATTACTGTGCATAAGATTACTATGAGTTGCAATTGACATAACAACTGTTCCAATGACATTATAGCTGGCCTATGTCAAACTTCTAATCCTGGGTTTTGAAACCCTTCCTCAACAATCTGCCTGCAAAGCTCCTTAGGAGAGGTTTCCCACAATAGGAAGCAGAGGTCAAGTGAAAACAGGTCAATTCTTATTATCTAAAAGTTTGAGTACAAACTATTCTTTTTCTTGAGGAGGCCATAATCGGACAAACTTTTCTTTTATTCCAAAAGATAAAAGCAGAATTGCTGATTGCTCTATGTTATAGGAGGGGAAACCCAGTAATCAATGCAATTACTAAGGTAATCTGGGCATGCTGTATTAAAAAGAAAGGCAAAGAGTGGATGAACTGGCTAGCAGTGAAGTGGCTAACTGGCCAGCTAACCCCAAGACTTCAGATGGCTACACTTAAGGATTTATCCAAGTTACAACACTGAAGTTCCATTTACATCAAAGTACTAAGTGCTCATACATTTGCTTCCTGGTTTCTGAGATAAGAGAGACCCTTTGATAAGGGTAAAAGCCCAAGTGTACATCTTATCAGATAATGGGACATTCAGACACAGGAAGGAAAAGACAGGTGTTACTAAAGAAAACTGAGAATCAGATGATTTTGTTTACTCCAGATTAGTCTATCTAAATGAAGCAGACCATTAATTTGTTTCCTTTGTTCTCAGGAGCTACTGTTCTTTTTAATATTCTAATGCTAATATGTCCATAATAGAGGGGCTTTACTAACAACGTGGGTGAAACTCAGAAGCGGCAAATGAAGTTTTGCAAACTGACTTTTTAAACTGGCCGTAAGACTTCAGTATTAGCTGAATACTCAGCAGCCATTTCTGAATGCTTTACTCTAAATAAAACATCCCCAAAACCTCCCTTTTTTTTTAAAAAAAGTAGCACAATGCAAAACCAAACCCCAACTTCTAATATTCAAATGAAATTTTAGACACTATTTTCCAAAGGAAAAAAAGATATAAAAGTTTGGGATAAGTACTTTAATAGTCAGCTATAAACTTTTCTCCCCACTCCTTATGAGGAATGAAATTTTATCAGTCAGATCAGACTGTATTCCTAGTGGACCATGTCTATCTGTAAGTCAGTCATACCAAAAGGAAAAATAAAAGGAAAACAATCCCTTAACTCAGCATTTACACACCATATGGGAGGCAGGGGATGTCCAGTTACAAGCCTATGGCAGTATAAAAGCAAGTAAATGGATCATGGTTATTTTAACTCTCAGTAATGGGTTGCTATAAGTTGTGCTTGATTTGATGGCACCTAACAACAATTGGCTTAGTGGGGAGGAATGCTATCTATACAAAGGTATGTGATTCGAATCCACCAAATACTCCCTTTGAAAACCCGCTGGAGGGTCAGTTCCAACTCAAGTGGTATACAACAATTAAACCAGAGATACAATGAATATCTGAAATGCTGGGTGTCTAAGAAAAAAAAAAAATTAGGTGTCCTTAACATCTACCTACATAAAACATCACTTGGCTTCTGTATAATCCTCCTCCCCTCTCAGGTTGTATGACCTGTTGTAGGGTCTATTCCTTCACTTAAAAAATTAAGACATACATACTACTGGCTGACTTGTGCATTACTTGTGCATTAAATGAGAATACATATGTAAAATGCTCAAAGGATTTCCTGGAATGTAACAGCTTATAAACAAACATTTTTATTGGTGCTATTAAATGTTTCTTTGTAACTTGGGGGGGGGGGCGGGCGGCTGAACTCAATACCAATTCCAGAGCTAGTCCCTTCCCTTTCTAAGTGACAGGTCCTCCCCTCCCCCACCTTTCTCCTTCAAAGCACCCTAAGGCAAATGTCTGAAGGGCTCAACAAACATGACAAAGGTGGCTATTAAGATCTGCTTTTCTAAAAACAACCTTTGAAAGCAACAGGCTATTTCCTATTCTGGCAGGGATTGTAAAGTCCAGAGTACTTTATGGATTTGGATTACAGATTTAGGATCCTAGAAATAGAAAACATCATTGCTGTAGTCTCACCTCATTCCCAGGTAACACTGCTCAATAAATCAAATCTAAACTTTCATTTAGAAATTGCTGTTGATGTTAACGACTCATAGCAATGCGATTAGAAGCTTAAAAAAAAAAATTGGAAGCTTCGAGTCAACTTTCTTCTACCAAAAGTCAGAACTGACAACCCACAATACAAAATAACACTACAGTATTTAGAAATATCAAAAAGCACTGGCCAAGTAGAAATGTAATCCTTCCATAAAAACATCAAAATTGGAAAAGGAAGCACTATGGTAAGGAAAGCAGTAGTACTCCTCCTCACCACCCCCTGGGGTTCAATAACCACACTCAGGCCCTAAGCCACTTCCCTGAGGCTCATGTGGTTGGTTACAAGTTGGGCTTATGTGTCAGTACCACCACCTAAAGTGTCATCACTGTTCTGTTTCAACTAGCAAGGTAGGAAGGGAAACAAGGAATATTTTTCCTTATTATCTAAGTTTCTTGACTCTGCTGCTTGTCACAGACACCACATAGATATGGAACAAAACCTATTTTCCTAGACATTAGAAGTTCAGCAGGTATTTGAAGTTGGTTTTTTTTTTTTTTTACATTTTTAAATTGTGACTTCAAAGTTTACAAAGCATACTGGAGTTTTTTCCTGATTCACTCACTCATGTGTATTTTGTCTCATAAATTACAATACGCAATGTCTTGACTGTTCATTTACTCCATATTTTCCTTCTCTTCATCCGTACTAGCAAGTGTTCACTCTTTGTAGGTAAACCTTAAGTAACCTTATAAAGCTTGTTCCTAAGAAATTATACACAACAAAGACATTTATCAGCTTAGCTCTTCTTGAAAGGAGCCACTGAAATTCAATGTTAATTCTTAGTTTCACCTGTATTTGAGTTGTTGTTTGATGAGTAGAAACTACTAATTCCCATTTTTCAACTTCAGATGGTTGCCAAAGGACCCTCAGCTAATAAGCAAAATGGCATAAACAATAAAGGTAAAAAAAAAAAAAAGCAAAAAATTTCTAGTAACAAAAAACATTCTCAGACATCAGTATCTCTCTTTTTAACACCTATTACTCTCTGCCCTCAAATGCCCCAGGTTCAGGATAAAGGACAAACTTAAAAAAAGTCAATCAATACTTAACAAGGCCACACAAACTTCGTGGGCCTGAACTATCATCTGCAAAGTTTAACTTTGGTTACAGGTTCATAATCTAGAACATAACTTCTTAAGTAGAATTAGTTCATACTTTGGTATACAGCTAAAATTCTTTACAGGGTAA